TTTGTTAGTTAATTGGCTTTTCGGTAACAGTTTTTGAAGACTTAAGTATTAACTTTGAACAAAGCCCATCAGACTGTAATTCAGTTTATCTCCCCATATACCACATATGATGTTTTGAGTAGAAAAATTACTTTCAGAAAGAATCTATTTGGAGCATTGATTTATTAGGAAAATGCAGCTGTCAAATGCAAATAGAATTGGTATTTACTTTCCGTTAAATGTATGAAGGTAGGACAATTTAACATGTAGTTGACCAAACTCAAAAAGTTGTAGGAGCAACTCAACTGTTAGGTACTTGGTATTGGGTGTGGAAGTTAACACAATGTCAAAGGAAATTGTGGGGTTTATTGCAAAATAAACTCACGATACCCGCCATCTTTGCATGCACTAAAGCACTGATGGGAAAAAAGCAATGTCTCATGGTTTCTTGAAATGACTTTATTACATTTGATGTTATCTTGCTAATTAAGAAGCAATGGTAACAGGAAGAACAAGAACAATTTATTTAGATTATTTACAAAACTTCAACTTGGACAGATTCTGATCAAATATTTCATTAATATTAATATTCTGATATTAACTTTGAATAACTTTTGATATTAACTTGAGTATACAGCTGTAACATATCGTTGTTGAGTGTTATTGCAGTTCAGACGTAACTGTGTCGTCGTCAATATTTCTATTAGCACTAACAAAACTTGAACTTGGAAAGATAAAACAATTGTCTTTAAACTTCTGACCAAATATTGCATTAATATAAGTTGTGATATTAACTTGAATATAACATAAGAATAAAATGAAGCGAGCCAAATGGTCTAATGACATCAGTTAAGCTGAGGTGGATGGCAAAAACTGGGAAATTACTCTTGTGCTTTGATCTAAAATCATCTTTTGTTTTCCAGCATTAAAGAAAAGCTATGACAAATCTGCAGAAGTGATTTTAGATAAGCTTGTATGGCCCGCCATGTGTAAAAAAATTCTGAAATCTCGGAATGGTTCTGAAAATTTCCCAATGATTTTGAAAGTTAGGAATGGTTCCCAAAATTCGGGATGGTTTGGATTTGCGAAATAATTACGAAAATGTCGTAATACTTTCGACTTTCGGAATATTTTCGAAAATCGCTCGCAATGCTGCCGAAACACCTGACTCTGAACATCAAAAGGAGACTGGAAACGACTGGGAAACACCTACCATCTGCATTTCGTGCAACAAATTATTGCCTAATTTGTTCCTAATTTTTTTCTAGGAAAAAGTTTATTATTTTATATTGAAATGTTTATTGAAACACAGACGAAGCTATTTTTATTTATTTTAACGTTTTAATATTTTACAAGTGCCAGCTATGACTAGGATATTCTTATTATATATGTTAAAATATTTGTAAAATAAGAAATACTTCACGGCGCGGGGGTTGGTCACAGTCAGATGCCCAACTTTTTTTTCTTACTAATACTGGGCATCCCCACGTAAAAAACTGCCAATTAATAATAGCCTAAATACTATAAATGGAAAATGCTCTAAACTGCTAAACATCCGCACTTAAATAAAGAAA